TGTATTGTCCTTTCGTGATTTGTGCAAAATAAATTAGAGAGAAATATTGTGCGGGGAGATGTCAATTGGCAATCTTCAAAAAGATTAAAAATAATACTATCTAATTTCCTCTCGTCAGATCAGATAGTAGTTGTGGGCAGTGTCATCACCTACTTGCATAAGTCAGGATTAATGAGACTATACCATATATTCATTCGTCATATCACAATCTGTAGATTGTGAGATCAATCTTGAGACAGATACATATAGCTATCTATACAAAAAGACAAATTGTGGTAAGTGGGTGCCAACTGGTTTGTCCAGATCTTTAATAATTATTTTAAAAATAGGAGAATAAACGGAAAATTACCGATGCATGAAAGCAAATGGCAAGCCAGAATCTTGCAATAAATCTTATTCCATGATTGAAAATCCTAATGCTAAGATAAGAAGAAAGGGAATGGAGAAAAAAGGGAAAAGAAAGTGGAAAAAAAGGAAAAGGAAAAGCGAAATAAAAAGAAAAAGGAGAAGTGAAAGAAAAGGAATTGAGAAAGAAAAAGTGAAAAAGTAGAAGTGAAAGGAACGGGGAAAGGAAAAAAAAGAAGACGAAAGAATAAGAATAAGAAAAGAAAAGAAAGAAAAGGGGAAAGTGGAAATAGAAATAGAAATAAGAGGGAAAACTGAGAAGATGTGGATAACTAAAATGGTAAGAAAAAGATAAATGGAGAGAAAAATGCTAAAGTAAAAATAAAGAGAAAGGGGGAAAATGGAGAGAAAAAGAAAATGGAAGGTTAGGAGAAAAAAGAGGGAAATAAAATTAAGGAAAAGAAAAGAAAAGAAAAGAAAAGAAAGAAAAGAGAAAGAGAAAGAGAAAGGAAAATGAAAATCAAAATCAAAAAGAAATGCGAAAGGGAAAAGAAAAATGGAAAGGGAAAAAAAATAAAAAATAAAGAAAAGAGGAAGGGGAAGGGGAAGGGGAAAGAAAAAAAAATGGGTAAAGAAGGTAAAGGTAAAAGAAAAGGCGAATAATTACCCGGTCTGTGCACTGGGCTTTCGGAGACGAGCAAAATATTTGCATATAGAAAAAGGGAAGAAGAGAGGGAACGAAAGGAAAAGGGAAAAAAAGCATAATGCAAGGAATAGGGAAAGGGAGATGAAGAGAAACGAATATAAAAAAAATGTAGAAATAGAAAAGGAAATGAAAATGGGAAGGAAATGTAAATTAAAGAAAAAGGTAAAAGACAGGAAATAGATAAGGAAAAAAGGGAAGTTAAATCCTTTTCCTTACAAAATATCCCATAAAATTATAACACCACTTCCTATTTATTTGATTATGCCTATTTACTATTTTCTCGCATAAAGTACAATATAATTAAAAAACATATGTTGAAATATATGCTTTTATTATATATAAGTAAAAAAATTATTACTAGCATTTAAAATCTATTTCTAAAAAGTATTTTTCAGAGTAGTTCTATTTAAATACTTTCTTCAAATTTTTTGTTATTATTTAGTGTTAATATTTAAAATAAATTTTTTTTAAAATTTAACATATATAAACAATATGAATATAATGTTAAATCAAGATATTAAACACTTCTAATTATTATTATTATATATAAAAAAAATTAATTACTAATAAGAAATAAAAATTAAATACTGCATTTGTGAAGAATTAATTACACATTTTTAGTGAAGAATATTGGTTTATTTCTAATATTTTACAAAATCAATATTCATTGCTATAAAATTAGTGGAAAACCCGTATTATATAAAAATTATGGTTTAAGGGGCAAAAATTATAAAAGCTATTTGTCGTAAATTATATTGATGAAGTGTCAATCCTCACAAAATATATTCCTAGGATTGTAAAACTAAAACAGCTTTGTGAATTATTATCTTTAATAATTTGAATATTTAAAATTTGTAAGAAGCTTGAGAAATAAAATAAATTGTATATTGAGATGTGATCATCTATCATATCAATATTTAAATTTAATTAAATTTTTATAGGTGCATATAACAATATCCTCCTTAAACCAAGACGTTAACAATTCGTGTCGAAAACATAGGCGATCCAAAAGTTATGGGTTATTTATGATTTTCAAAATATTACAGTTTATTTAGGTTGTGAAATTTTTCTCTAAATTTTTATTATTATTATTTGTAACCATTTACAAAATTATTTAAAATAACGAAATTTTACAAATACTAACTAACCAAAATGAAAATTTCTTTAAATTCCGAGTTGGATCAGTTTTAATTTTTTTTCTTCACTTCTCTAGGTCTTTAATATATTTAATATTCTACATTATGAAAAATAGGAGAATATTCAAAAAGATAGAGCCCTCTATTGCTTGATTTTTTTTTATTGGCAAAATTTATAAAAAAATAGAAATGAAATTTAAATTTTTATTTCCTTGATTCTAATTTTTACTTGGATATTAAATCATATTAGTAGTAAACATATTTAAAGAGTTTTATTGTACCAAATTAAGGTTGGCTCAAAAATTTTGTTTTTGTTCTACCGGATATGTAGTATCAAGATTGATAATAATATATTTTAAAAAATAATATTTTCCTGATGAGAATTTTAAGGCTACAAAATGGTATATAATTTGTGACTTTAAAGAATATTTTTTCGAGTAATTTGAGATCCCTTAAAAGAAAATGCCCACATTAGACTTTGAAGGGGTACAACTTCTGATACATTTGGGCTAGAGCTTTAAAATTTTTTGTATACAATTTAAACGATATAAAACCATCCTTCCGAGTTTTATTTTAAAAGGATCGTCCGAAAATCTCATTTTCTTGATGGATTTGACATGGAATGACCCTTAAACAGGGTAGCCCAGTCCTTAAGCCTGGTCGCCAAGTTTTTTTTGGCTCCCAATAATATTTCCTATCTCAAAATTCTTATTCATTCGCTTATTAATCTAAATGAAATAACGATATCGAGATTATTTTTATTTCTCGAGCTCTCTTTTCGTGAGTCTAATTCCACTATAATAACTGATGCAGATAAAAATATTCCATCAGGACTTTTTATCATGTTTTCATAGATTAAAAATTAAATAAAATACTAAAAAATGCCCAATAAACTTCACCCAAAATCGAAATTAAGTCATATCTAATTTGCCGGACATGGTATTATACTCTATCTCAACAAATTATAACAAAAGCGATATTTTTTTTAGTCTTAAGGCTGATGAAACAAAGGATGCAATAGGAATTCAAGTTTAATTATATATATTTTTTGCAAAAAGTTAAAGAGAATTTAATAGTTTTAAGACTAATTAAAAATTGATTCATACAATATAATAAACGATGGTGCAAATGTCAATTCTGGTCAATGCAATTAACTTTGATCAAAAAATATTAATTAAAGGTTTGCTTAAATCACAAGTTGCATCTTGTTGTTTAGAGTAATTGTAAATTTTTAAGTTTAAAAAACTAATTGTATAGTTCCTTAGGCATTTTAATATGTACTCTAAATATACAGCTATACTTCAGAGATTTTAGTCAAGAGATGGACAGGTCATTTGGAAATATCTCGTATCATTCATGAGTATTTTAGACTTATAGTTAAGTATAATTTATTCCTTTTCTAATAGAACTTTTACTCGGAGTTTCTACTAATAATTAGAAACCACTAGTCTTACTTGACAGAATCCATTTGGTATTTTGTTTATTTTCCATTTGGATAGATACTGCAAAATTTGGTCATAATATATATTTAAAAAATCGTGATTTTAGGAAAGCCTCTGTGGCCTAGTCGATAAGAGCGTCGCTTACCATCCGATTGTTCTAAGTTCGAATCCAAATGCCTTTTTTCGCAGCCAACTTGGTTGTACCGCCATCGGGAGGGGTGAAATAGTAGATCGGACTCGATCTTGTGATTCCGTTAATATATATTAAAAAATAAATGCATCTTTCTGCATTTTAATAAATTTTGGTCGGTGTTTAGCAAATTAGGTTGTTATTTACAAAATTACTATGTTGACTAAGCAGTATCTATCATCCTCATTTTTGTTAATTCAAAAATATAAATCATATTGGATATTGTAATTTATAAAATAAGTAATTGATCACCAGTAGATACTAATATAGTGGTGCTAAAAAATTCTGTTGACTTTACAATTAATATATTGAAGAATAAAAGATATGAAAATTCATTTTATAAAGAAAAGACTAAAATCTAATATTAAAATTTAATCTCACCCTCGAAAAAACCTAAAGGGTTTATAAAATGCATAAAAAAACTTTATTTTTGATTGATATTAATTAAAATTTGATCATGAAAAGGACTCATTGAAGCTCGTTAAAAAATTTGATTTTTAGAAAAATGACAACTTTTATCTTGTTTTAATACATTGCCCCCCCCCCCCCGTGGCTTAAATTATTTATTCTAAAATGGCCCCAATTCCCTTATGCAAAGGGATTATAAGTGGCTCTAGAAGCGGAAAGAAATAGATATGATTTTGAAAATATTAATATTATTGGAAAAAAGTATCATATTGCCTTAAAAGAATTATAAAAATTTTAGAGCAGCGCTTATTGGGGTACCAACAGCATCTCATGAGGCCTCATTCTTAACACTCAAGATTAGTGTTGGGTCATGGCAAAATATTGGCTCAATATTTAGGTGATTGTAGGAGAAAATCGTTAACATTAAGGAGCTTTAATTTATATTAGTTTCTTCCATGAGCTGCTATCTTTTTAAGAAAAAACCTAAGGTCAAAGTGATAGTATTCGGCTAAAAACTTAATTTCGCCAATTTTTTAGCCAGCTAAAAATTGGCTTAAACGGCTAAAAATATAGTAATTACCCAACTATGAAGGTTTATCAAGCACCAGATAATCAATGGTAGATAAAAACAAATTTTAGTGCTAATGGCTTATGGAAAGTATAATAACCCAAAACTTGTTTAATTCATTTAAGTTAAAATTTAAAAATAAAAATCATTGAATTGTATTTTGAATGTTCATATGTATTTACAAATTTTCAATAAAAATCCTGTAAATATCTTTATTCTGAATAAAATAGTGGAAATGTAAAATAATATGTACAATATAAATTACAAGGATAATTAAGAAGATAACGATATTTTTATTTTAAGATTCAACGATTCTTATAATCTTGGCCACTTTTCTCTTTTCTTTAACAAAAGTTTTGGGGCATTGCATCTCTGTCCAACTAATTGGGTACATCAATCCACCTGAAAATAGCAATTATGATAAATTAGTTTTCAAATAAGTTTGATATGATGTTCTATATAATTTTCCTCATTGTTTAAAATAAATGACTCTCATTTTTTTTCTTTTCTTTCCCAACTTACATCCCATGTCGATTCATATATAGATCTATTAGTGTTAAATAGCTTAATTTTAAAAATGGCTAGCCCAGTATTTTAGCCAAAAAAAATTATGCAAGTCTCGAGATTTCATTAATAGATGTCTAAGCCTTTCTGCCACATGAGTAAAATCCCCAGCTTTCATATCTTTAGGCTAAGATAATGAGTTAGCCATTTTTAAAATAGCCATTTAACAACACACCATTACTCCTTCTTGATTTTATTATTTTTTCCTAATGTGATTCCAGTAAATTTTAATTTTCAAAAAATATTATTTTTTAAATAATAGATGATTATTTTTGATAGGAAAAAAAATAAACCATGTTGGCTTTTGGCAATATAAACACCAAGGGATTCATCACATGTAGTAAGTAGGTAAAAATTTGCTTCCCCCATTGAAAGCTAAGATAAATAAAATATTTATTAAAGTAAATACTAAATACTAATTTACCATTGATTTATATCAGATCTAAGGGGGGGGGGGGTCAAAATTAGAAGCCTCCCTACCCCAGATTTTTTTTTAAAATGATTTCTTCACCCCTGCTATAATATTTTTAATTTTAAGCCTTACAAAATTTTAAAAAAATTTTGATCATTTTATGGAATTTTTAAAATGAATATCAATTTTCCAAATAATTAATTGATATAATTTAAATTTATTTTTAAATTTGTCCCAGGAAAATTTATTTTTACCAAGCAAGGTAGATTGACAAAAATTATGTTTTGAATAATGTTCAGCTTAATATCTCACCTTATAAGTGCCCTTCAAATAAACTGGTACACTAAATGATTGTGTGTCCCATTGTATTTCTTATCAAAACCACAAACAAACATACCAATCTTTGGTCAGAAATATTTATATAGATTTTTTACTCCTTGAAGTTAAGCATAGTAAAATGATTTTTGCAAAAGTTTATTATATAAAAAATAATAATTACATTTTTATTCAAAATCCTGCCCTAGATTTTTAAAGTTTCATGATACACAATGTGTCAAAATGTAGATCTCTGATTTATATATAGTATAGCAAATTTAATATAATATTGGCTGGGAAGAAAATAATAATAATAAGGTGTTTTCTTTATTTATAATTATTTTGTACAAATTGTCTTGCTCTAATGTTAATAATTTTTTATGAAGGAAAATATATAAATATTCCATATTTTTTAATATAAAATATGAATTTTAGATATAACCCATGAAAATATTTTTAATATGTCTGGTATGGCTCAAAAATGTATTCCCTTGGCCTGCAGGCCAGGTTAATAACCTCTAATATGTATATATTAGAAAAACAAGTATAAATTCAAAAACAACATAGAATAAAAATATTACCACACGTGCTAATATGATATCTTGTGGGCGAAAACAATTAACTACTTCGACCTAAAGAAAAAATCTTTATCAAAAATAGAAAAAAATACAAACTTCATCTTTATTAACATCAACAATATCTTCTTTTCTATAAATTTAAGAATGAAATAATAGTGAATGAATATACCATAGCAAACCTTATTATTCCCTTAAATGGCTCCTTTAATATATAATCTTCTATAGCAATAATAATACATTTACAATTTCTTTGAGTTACATGAGTAACCTAAATTTACATAACTATTTATTATTATATAACAAAAATATTACTTTACAAGTGACTATTGAGCCCATCCTTGGCAAGGGATTAAAATTTTCTAGGCCTCTAACTGATAGCTTACTTTCCTTATATTATAATAGAATATAAGTTTACTCTTTTAATTAATATTATACATTTTCTAATTTTTCAATATAAACTTCTCCAACCAAAGAAGAATAAATTTTGTTATTATGCAAGTAAGCACCATTTCCAGGTTGAAAATTAAATTCAGTGTTGCCAATAATTTCGCCTTATAATTTAATAAATAGATATAATAAAACAATATTACCTGGTAAAACAATCTTTGCTTTTTCAACTTCAGTCATTTTAAATACATAATAATATAAGTAATATTAAATATTCTAAAAATGAGAGAGAATTTTTTATTTAGCAACTAAGAATTAAAAGTTGATTGATTTGTGATTGGCATTGTATAATTATTTTTTTAGAAAGTAGTGTTGTTAAACGGTTGGATTTGAGTCGACTTTTAAAAACTGCTAACTCAATATTTTAGCCAGTTTTTCTTTCTTTTTTTTCATTTTTTTTTGTTTTTTTTTAAATTTTAAATTTTAAATTTTACAAAACTTAAAAAATTAATAATTTAAGATTTCGAACATGTCTCATAATTTTATTAATTTTCGAAAATTTATAAATTTTGTGGTTTTTTTAAAACATTTAGAACATAAACTTAATTATATCAGTATAGTGCACACAAATTAAACTTTTTAACGTAGCATTTTAAAACGCAAATAGAAAACGTAAACGCAACTATGTTTAAATCGAAGTATTAACTTTTTTTAAAAATATGAAACGGAAAATTCTTACCCTATATTTACTTAACAGAAATAAAGGAAGGAAGAGGTGCAAGACATCTTAAATATATGATAAAAGAAAAATTTCTTCTGAATATATTAGTATAAAAGAGGATTTGACAAATTCCCAATTTTATAATTATACAAGAATGAGAAAATATACCTTCTCATACATTCTCGGGCTAATGTATGATGTTATTAATACAAAACTTACTAATTGTAACTGATGCTGAAAGCAGATTATTTGTTATCTTGAGATAAAATAATTCAATTCATTAATAAGTATTTATATAAAAGGTATTCAATTATTGGGGTATTCTTTGCACATTTAGAATATATCTCAAGGATATCAAAATTCTGTATAGCCTATATTGTAAAATGTGTGTGCAAAGCGATTTGGAATTCTACTGTATATCATATGCCTAGACCTAATAAAAATGGAAAAGAGTAAATTTATTATTTAAATTAAAGATAATATTTATTTACATTATATTTTTAGATTTCTCAAAAATTCTTGCTTCAATCAAGATTCCCAAATAGTTTTGGGACAATAGATGGTAAATATATATATCAAGAGTCCTCATGGCTTACAATTTTATGTATAAACATAGATTTTCAATTAATCTTTTATAAAATTTATTCATTATATACAATTATATTATTACATTATAGAAATAAATTATTTGAATGTTAAAAAAAATTTAATTGAAGTATCCATTAACTTATTTATTAAATTTAAAATTATGTAAAAATAAAGTATAGAAAGTTCTAAATATTAAAGTTAATTGTATAAAAATAAATAGAAAATCATTAGTAAAGTTAATTGTGTAATAAAAGATAAAGAAAGCTAAGCTACTTAAAAGTTGTAACAAGAGATATAATATTTATACCTTACTTTAAAACATGCTAACTAAGATCTTTAATTTATGAAAATAGACCCTGCTAAGTAAATCAGAATCATCAATGATTAATAAATCAAATGATAAAATAATTGATAATCTAATGTTGCTAACTGAGATATGTTTTTAATTTCTTATTTGAAAACATTTTAATATTTAAATTATGAATTGCAAAATTCAAATTACATACATGATATTTATTTTCCTTTTAAGAGAATCCTTTTATGTAAAGTGAACCTGTTAAATAAACCAAAATCAATCAATGAGATAATCCAATTTTACTCACTAAGTAATGTTTTTAATTTCTTATTTGAAAACTTTTTAATATTCAATTTAAAAAATGTAAAAATAAATTACACATATTTTATTTTTCTTAATTATATTACATATATAGACAGATAAATTTTATAAAATTAATGAATTTAAAATAATTTTTATAAAATTAATTAATAATAATTTGTAATGAATGTTTTAATAGGTCTTCCACAATGACGTCTAGTCTTCCTAATGATTCTTGGTTTCAAGTTAGTTTACATATACTAGATAAAGATGTCATATCCATTCATAGCTTTGCCTTATCAGGTTATATCTTTTATAACAACATACAAGTAATCACTATCTGCACTATCATAGAAAATTAAATAAATCTTATTATTTATTTTAAAAAAATAAACTTCAAGATTGGTGCTTCCTCTCTCATTGCAGATGGTGTGAATAAAATATATCGTCTTTTTTTAAATATCTGCAGCCACTTACAATGATAAAAATTGTAGATATTTATAAAATTTAGACCTATCACATCAAATGTTTTACTGTAAATTCTATATTTTTCTAGCATCATGATCATTTTGGCTGGAAATATGTACAATAGCGAAACGTTCGGTTCTCTCAAATAAAACAAAAACCCATTAGATTGGTACGTGATAAAAGCGTTTTCGCCCTCTGGTTGTGGATACAACAGAGCTACGTGAGGTTTTCCTCAAAAATCCATCAAACTGGATAGTTAATTAAGGGGAGAAAAATGAGGAGCCCTTCACACGTTTGTGGGCAAGCCACACGTACTTGTACGCGCAACAGTCCGAGACCTGTTGCTTAAACGTCTATAGGCTAATAAACAAAAAGCTTTAAGGGTGGGTGGTGGCTAATTTTAAGTTTAACATCTAATGTAAGCCTTGATAATTACTATCAATAATTGAGAATATGTTCATATCAATTGAGATAAGAACTTATTCATGAAAATAAGAAAAAGCTAATGGGTTTACCGCAAATTGTTTATATAGGTGAAAATTCCAGTGAATAGGCAAAAACTAGTCAGTAATAGGTTTATGACTATCCAGCAACGAACACCACACAACAAAGGTTATTTTTTTTCTTTTTCCAGAGAAACAAAATACTCTATGGAGTGATAGATGGGTATCAAGAATTAAAGGGAATGATGTAGATTCAAAAATAATTTTTTATAAATTTAGTGCTAATCTCAATGATACTATAAACACAAAATAAATAATTAATCAAATTTAATATAGCTAGCAACTAAATTATCGTAGTAGACTTGTTTTCTATATATTCTTATCTTATCTGGCACGTTGGTCATAGACCTGCCCAAAATGAGCGAACGTGAATTACTATAGAGGCCCTATCCTCCATAATAATTATGCCGATTTTTTTCCTCAAGGATACCAACAAATCATTGTAACCCAGATATAATTATTAAAGGTGTGGAACTCACCCAATCCAATAATAATATTAGCTTAAGGAATAGTTATGAGTATTTTTGAGAAAGCGAGAACTGAAATAAAAAAGAGGTGCTGTATCATCCAATATAAATTATTAGTTTTTTATTTTATTATGAAGCTTATTTTTTATTGTTGATCCTTGAGCAAGGATCTTATTTAATAGGATTATTTTATTTCATAGTTAATTTTTGATTTGTTCCCAACTATTTAGTAAGAAGATATAAAAAATTATATTTGGTTTTTATAATTATTTAGTTAAATATACCTATCTATCTAACCTATTTGTACCTTGATTCTCATAGTGTAATGGTTAACCTATTTATAATTTTCTTACAACATGAAATATTTTAATCCGCCTTCATTTAATATAACCCTAATCAAATTAACTTCTACTCTTAGATATATATCAAAACAATATACTTGCTGACAAATAATGAATAACCAAACTACAAAATGGCGCTACAGCTGATTACAATGTGTGGACACTTTTATAATGTATTGAATGAATGAATCGCCAATCTATAGTTATATATATATATATCATTTTAGCTAATCTCCAAATCAATAATCGCCGTTTCGCAATTATTATATAAAAATAGCATTGTAAACAAATGGGACTTTAAATTTTTTACATTTACCCATATATCCCAATAATCCGATTTGTTTAAAAATATATTTTAACATTATGCCATTGTAGATCTTAACATAATGGTGGATTTTTTAGCATTTAAAAATATTTGTTTCGTAATATTTTTTATAAAAAACTATTTACTAAATATTTGTTTACAATAAATATTTGAAGAGTAGAAATTAAAAAAAATTAAATGTAATTATTAGGCAAAGAATAGAGCAGACACCATTTCGCTCGAAAATTAGTAGGAATAAAAATCGCGTATTGGCGCTTTTTTTCAATTGCCCGCGAAGACAAAGAGTAGGAACAGTTTGCTTCCAATCTTTATTGAGGGGGGATGGGTCTTTGTGGTAGGGCTAGGGGTAGAATAAATTTATCTAGGATTATCTATTAAATTTTTATATAAAATAGGGCAAAATGTATTGTTGTAAAAATTAATATTTCTATTATAGGCCTATTATAATACAATGATATTGCTAGACATCGATAAAATCTATATAGTACTTACAATCATAGATATTATTTCCAAATAGAACTTTCTGTTTTCCTTTTAAATGTAATTAAAAAGGCTTAAACATTCTCAGAAAAATCATATTTATGCCAAACAATATACTATAATAATGCTTCAGGCGTGTACGCAGGAATTGGCTGTGGGGGGGGGGGGGATAATGGATAATTATATTTATTAAGATATTATTGTTATTTAAAAATATCAAGCATAAATTTATTATAATAACTATTTCTAATGCACAATTTTAAATTGATGTGAATTATAAAAAATTAAATATATCGGCATATAAAAACTATATAAATGTGAATTAAAAATTACTAAACGCGGTATATATAAAGCTATAAAGATGTGATTTATAAAATTTTAAGTGGATATAACCAGAATATGATTCTATAAAATAAATGTCCCAATATAGAAATTTAATTTTTTGAGCCTTTAAAATTTATATATTATAAAAAATTTAAATGTTGGAAATTAATACAAAAGATTCTTAGGAATAGATTTACTTTGTATGTAATAACTTATAAAGTATTCAACACATTAAAAAATAAAATTGTACAAAAAATATTAATAAGAAGCTGAAGGAAACAAGTTATTTTTTGAGTTTTGAATTAATTTTATTTCTTCTTTTAAAAATCAAATAATAATAATAATATGTATAACAATCAACTGGTATATATAATAAAACATTTCAATAGATATTCAAATTAATACTCAATTAACATTAAAATAAATTATTTCAACTGATCACAAATTTAAATTAACATGACAATAAATTATGTTAATTGAACACAATTAACAGAAGCATATTATATATTTATAATGTAAAACTTCATTGGGATTGGTGCTGCCTGATGAATTAAAAACCGTTCCTTTATTTGGGTTATAAATGTATCTGAGAGATAAAGACATTTATTTTATAATACTCTTCTACCGACCCTATATTAATGTTTGGAAATTGCCGTGCTGCAAAGGAAAGCATATATTAAATTCGTATAGTTCTGCTTTTGACTCACTCATATAAAATATGAAATTCTTCATCAATATTAGTTTCCTTGAGTTCTAATAAAATGCTCACCGCTATTCTCATCGTCTCAATCAAGTCTATGTCATGTTTTGAAAAGCATTACATAAAATAGTTGTATAATTAAATAATTTATCAATACAATCTAATGAGAAAAAAATTTTTCATATAAGTATTAAATCCTATAATATAATTTGCTTGCTTCTGATGAATCTCTTTCAGGCCATTGTGATATTTCACTAAATGCATTAATAATCAGCTATTAGCTGTTGTTGCTTGATGGCGAACAAGCTTTTTGCAATTTCATTCTCCTAGTTGGACAAGATGTTTCAAAAATAATTCTGTTTAAAATTTTTTGTAGCTTGGGGTATTCCAATAATCAGGGATCCAAACCGAACCTGAACCGAACCGTTAAACCGCTAAAAACCTGTATTTTTTATAGGGCTAAAATAATTTCTCTAATTTTTTTAATGAGAATATCAATTTTGGTAACTTTTTTATGCCATCAACTGTAAAACCTCTAAAAAATTCCTAGCCGAACCTGAACCGAACCGCTAAAATGCCTCTGAACCGGTTCGAGTCTCATAATTTTATGCTTATAAAATAATGTGTAAGTTATTACTAGTAGTATATTGCAAAAATTTTAATTATATTCATATTGTTTTAAAAATTATTATCAATCACATTTGATTGATAAACGTCAGTCATAATTTTTATAAACTTTAGTATATTGCCATTTTGCAATATTTTTTAAATATTTTAAGCTTATAAATTATAATGCCTAGAAAAAAATTTAATCTAATATATAAATTATTTACATATAGTATTATAAATGACACTTCAAATCTGATATCATACTGGCAATGCCAGCTACCAAGGTAAGTGTGGAAGGATGTTTTTCAACAATTAAATTTATATTATCTCCTTATAGATGTAATTTGAGTGAGACGATTTTTGAAAATATATTAATTGTGCAGCTTAGTAAAAAAAAATTTAAGTAATTGTTTATATTTAAATTAATCATTGATATATTTATTTGTTATATTTGTGCAATTAATAAAAATGAAGTTTTTTATTTTAATTATGAAATAAAAAAAAATTTTTCCTGATACATAATCCTAATGTAGGTTTGAATACAAATGTGTTCAAACCGGTTTTTAGAGGTTCGAACCGAACCAATATTTTTATTTTTTGCAAACCGAACCTGAACCTTGAACCTTTATTTTTATCCGAACCTGTACCTGAATCGAACCGATATTCGTTTCGGTTTGGATCCCTGCCATTAATGCAGAATCCCCTAAAGCTTGAAATTTTAAAAAAACACAAAAAATACCATCATTATCATAATATTGAAATTCAAGTTTCCTAAATTCAAATGGCCACATAATACTAGGCCTTGAAATCACAATATATAATAGCCCAAATAGTTTGAGCTTATATCTATTTTCTTTTGCTATTTTAATCCTATTTTTGCCAATATGGAATAAAATGGGAATCATATCCCCACTTTGAATTAATTTGGAGAAATTATCAGTTCAAAGCTTTTGTGTTAATTTGTTTTTTGATGATTGTCAGAGATTTATCCAGTATCTGTGTACTTGTTGAATGGAATCTTAACAAGACTGTTAGGCTTAACTATATTTCTTCCAGTATATCTTGGGCCAAACAGGCATACCTTGCAATAAGCTCCATTGGCTCTGATAGAGTATGCTAGCCATATCCATCTAGTTAAATAGCTGTTTTGACATTTTAACTTCGATTAGCACATGAAGTTTGTTGGATATTGAAAATTGAGGGGTGGAATATAAATCTATTATTAAATAAAACATTTTCCATAGGTATCTGTTAAATACGTCGATTTAAAATTTTATTTTATTATATTAACATTTATTTTATCGTTGCAATTTATGTTTGTTTCTTAACTTTAAAATCAATTTATTTTATCGTTTTATATTTTCACTAAAATTGACAATTTAAATTTTTTGTTATTTTGTAACTTAAGTTAAATTTAATGTTAAACGAACATTTTTATTTTGTTAATTGATTATTTTTTGTGATTTATTTATTTTTAAAAAGATATAAAAAGAACATTTTTTTGTTAGGGGGTGTAATAATAAATTTTTGATTTATAATAAAAATTTATTTCGAAGATGATTTAATGAATAAAACTATCATCATCGACGACTAGTTGATTACTCTATTTTCATAAATATTTAAGACCACTACTAAATTCCTCACTTTTCTTCATAGTGGCCAAGACAAGTTTCGAACTCGCGACCTTCGCGCTTTTTAAGAAGTATATGTCTTTCTTCTAGGCTAATTATAAAATGTTATAAAATTATTTGTACTTTTTTGTAGGATGACTAGAATTTTCATCATCACTAATATGTTTAAAAAAATTTCTTATGTCCATAATTATTATTTGATAAGAAATTTGAAAATGATAGATAAATATTACGCCGAGTTGTCAAAATTAATTGATAAAATAACTTAGAAAATGGATAAATAAATGAAATTAAATATATATATTTGAAAAGAAAGAGAGAGGAAAATATTATAAAATATTAATTTAAACAATAATATTTTTTAAAAATATATCCTGCATCTGCATTTTTTGACTGGATGGGGGGGGGGGGAATTTGTTCCCCTGCCACCCCCGCTGCGTACGCGCCTGTAATGCTTTTATTGTAAATGACGGGGTTTTTAATTGAATTCATGTTCTAAAAAATAACTCTTTTGTATTCACAATATTTTGATAGTTGGTAGTCAATGACATAGTATTAATAATTTAAGTTATTCTTTTTAAAATTTATGAAGGTAGTACTATTATAATTAAAAAGTTATAAATAATAATATGGAGGTGGCGGAAATTTTTAGGGAAAAAGGTATAGGTTTTTGAGGGGGATTTGTATCTACTGAGAATCCTGTCATGTAGACTCTGCTCCAATCATTGATGCTATATTTTTCCATCTTACCACTCAAAGGTTAATATATAATTTATTTAATATTTCTCTTGATTAATTTAAGTGAGGCCTTTGACTACGCATAAAATAAATATGTTATATATTTTGATTATTTATTAATTATTTTAAATGCAACTTTTATTTCTTAATATATCAATATTACAAAAAAAATAATTGAATTTTAGATAGGTTTACAAAAAAATTTATGACAAATTATAGGTCCGGGAATTGTTCAATTAGAAGGTAAAGTATGAGCCCATTGTGTATAAGGAATCATTCATTTTTCTCTCGTTTCTAATTTTATTGCACAATTTTTTTTCATTGGTAGTAATTTCCTCAATCTTCCCAAAACATAATCATTTTATCTTTCCCATATGATGCAAACCGATTGATGCCATACTTAATGTTATCGGGAGAACTTGAATCGTTAATATTTGAGTCAAAAGAGGGAATCAATTTGGTGCCCAAGACTTTATCATCGTGTTTCCCTATAATTTTTGAAACTTCATTTTGAAAATTTTCTGATGATTTAGAAAAACTGGCATTACATGTTGGAGATTTCCTGGAAACAAGATTGAGTTTAGTCAAATCGCCTAATTAGTAAGCAATAATTTTAATATTATATTATAAAGAAATATAACTTATTTCTATGCATTTATTGGATATTATATATATGAAGGAAATAGTATTTCAAAAAGTTTCAACTGTTAGTTAGAAACAAATGGAGGGGGGGGGGTAGTATAAAACAATATTTGCAGACTTCGATTAAATAAAAATCAAAATTTTACGAGCCGTTAGAAAAAAACAATTTGGGCAAATTGCCCGCCAGTGCCAAAAAACTTTTTTTACAAGTCATCCGACTAGAATTTTCTAGGACTGAGCATGGGGCCAAATCAATGTTCTCTTGGTATTTGCCTCTTTCGGATCCATTTAAGATTAAAAATGTTCAGTTCCATTTTCTTTCAGATTTCAATATTCAAAACGTTTAGAGAAGTTGGAATGTTTTTTAAGAGCCTGAAAAATTCTGAAACACATTACAAAACTCCTAGGCTTATTATGGATTATTTCTAAAATAATGTCCCTTTCTATTCCCTTCTTTCTCTAAAATATTGTAGTAAATTCTGCCTGTTATATTAAAAATAATTTTTATAAACCTTTTATATTAGTTAATCGGATAGTAGTGTCATGTGAGCTGGTCAATAAACATTTTTGATTGGCGGAGAGCTCCATAGAGCTCACACGGTCATAATGAAGACGTAGCATTTCTAACCTTTTCCTTCCTTGTTTATGTATTAAATAATATATAAAATAAAGTTTTTATATACTTTTTTTTATATTATCATAAGATAAAAACAATTATTTTCATAGAATGAATTATCCCTTAAGGGAAATTTAGTAAAGACAAAGTGTATAATATATATCTAATTTAATTTTTAATTCAATTTTTAATTCAATTTGTAATATACCTCTTAGACAGGGTTATTAGGTAAAAATTATTCGAATGTTTCAGATTTTTGCAAAAAAAATAATCCACGGACTTCCAAAACCCCCTTATCTCCAGCCGGTTAAAAAGGAAACTATTTACCAGGCAAAAACTAATTATGGACTTATTTTACATATATTTATAAATATATAGGTGGAAATTTTTCTTATGAAAAGTTTTAATGATGTTTGTATATATCATTTTGAAATTTTTAGCTATTATAATATGGTCGCTAATTATATAAAATTCAGTCCGTTTATTGGTCATCAGATGAAAAATAACAAATTTAGGAATATGGGAACTAGTAAAAAGAGGTTATTAAATTTCTTGATTTTGAAATCTCCTTTTTTGGGCATAATACATGATATTTTTAAATAAATAATTTCTGAATGTAGGATTTTGTGAGAGTTTTTGTGGTATATTTCAGAAATTTTACAAATGTGGTAGTTGAGTTTAGTGTTTTAAACTATGATTTAAAAAATAAATTGTGGCAGTTACAACATGTTCGAAACCAAAATTTCTTTCTTAGGATTAAAAATATAATAACAATTAGTAGATCATACATCGATCTTAGTTAAAACATTAATTATACCCAACAGGTAGAAAATTCATAAGAGAGAGAAATAAATGGTAGATAGACTAGAAAATGTATTTTTTTCAAATGCCTTTAAATATAAACATTACTATGTAAGATTACTTATAAATACCTCAATAAAAAAGATAAACTATTCAGATTTAAGAATTGTAAATTGTTAGACCATATTATAATTTACTAAATTTTTTAAATCCATTTTATTTAAACTATAAAATTAAATTATCTTAGACCCGTTCTGGCTTCTCTGTATACCCACTAATTAATATATATTTTTGTACCTCTAATATCATATAAAAGGCATGTTCCATCTTCGTGTCCTGCTATAAGTACTTTTTCGTGATCATCTACGCATGCGCAATGAATTGCATTACCTATTTTTCATATTGTTATCAATATGGAAATTTTTACATTAGTGAAACCTCTTAATAGCAGAATTTCGATATTGCGATAGTAAATATCACTCTGCAATTGAAGAACATAATAGTAAATTAAAGAGGTTTTAGCAAAATATGTGGTATACTAAAATATTATTTGATTTAATCTTTTTTATTACAGATTACGATATAATAAAAAAAACTAAATGCAAACCTATTGAAATTAAACGTAAGATTGGTTGAATAAATTTATTGACCTTTAGTTATAGAATTAGTGGCCCCAGTCACCGCGTGCAAGCAATCGGGAACTCTCAAATCCCAAAATCTTACCGTTTTATCATCCGATCCCGTCACAAAGGTACATCCTCCGGGTGAGAATATACAATTAATGCATGCTTAAAATATAGAATAAACATTATATTTTATTAACAGTAAAATTAACATTTTTAAAAATATAATAATTGAAGGTTATTTTAATGAATATTAATATATAGAATAAACATTATATTTTATTAACAGTAAAATTAACATTTTTAAAAATATAATAATTGAAGGTTATTTTAATGAATATATAACTCAAGTAAATTAACCAAAAGGAGGTGGCGGTTTATGATTATATTTGTAGAAGTAGTCAGGAACTTATTTTTATAATAATTACTTAAAACATATAACAACTAAGAAGGATGCTTTTAGAGGTTTCAAAGTATTTTTCAATATCAATCGTAATACAATATTTTCATTACATTTATTTAAAAAAATAACAAAAAATAAAATTTACCAACCAATACTTAAAATTATAAATGCTCAAAAAGTTGTTTATAAAATAAAGGATGGTAGATTAACGTAGAAATCTTGATATTTTATTCTATTTTACACATTATAAAAATAGTGGCAGTGGGGAGATTTAAGTAAAAAACATGTTTTTTGTAAAAATTAATTTAAATTAATAACTAAGTAGTAGCGAACATTTGGGTTTTCATGATATACATTAATTTAGATTATGTAGATACATAGAACTTTGCAATTAATTTAAAAAATGGAAATAAAACCAGTGTGTCCACTCAAGACTTGGATTGGAGTAGAAGTTTGAATGTCAGTGACTCTTACATTGTGAGCAGAATCGCCCCCAACACTGAGTAGGAGACAACTTTGATTAAAGTTGTCCTGAAGGAATAGACAATCTTTCACTATTTCGTTCTTACTTTTTTTGCTCGGGACACTAACATTCTGGTCTAATTTACCCCGAATATTTATGTTCGTTAATAGTTCTAAAATTTAAAAAAAAGAAAATTAAAAGGAGGAAATAAATATTGGAGAAGAGTGGTGGGGGAGATTTATATTGTTATTTGTGGATATAATATATCCCAGAGACCTGCAGAGGTACCATTTGCACGGCCCGACCTGCCCGGATATTTTTTTAAAAAAATATTTTGGCCCCGGCCCGGATTTTTTTTTAAAAAATTTTTAGGTCCGGCTCGGAATTTTTTGAAATTATATTCTACCTGGCAAGGAAAAAATTCACCTGTTCGGTGTTTTATCTTTTTCGGCGAGTATTAGCATTTAATAAGCAAGCATATTAGTTAATGTTGTTAAACGGCTCGTTTTGAGCCAATTTTTATCGAAATTTCTATACTATATGTCTAGACCTTTGCTCTTTCCATGAACAAAATCTTCAGGCTCGCATAATATTTTTCTAGATAAAATACTGTGTTAGCCGTTTTTAAAAATAGACTCAAAAAGCCGTTTAACAACACTACATATTACATATTTTATTTTTTCTTATTCTGAACAGATATTTAGTATATAACAAATTGATACTATAAGAAATTTATGTAAATAATATTTTGAGTATACTATATTAATTGTATTTATAAAAAATAAAACTGACATTTTAATTAATAAAAAAATATAACATATATTATATAATAATGTATTTATTACTATTATCCTTTGCTGTATTTATTCCATAGCAGGAAAATTATTTATATTATGTAATAGATACTATGAGTGTTAGCTAGTGTTAACTTTCACCCAACATTATATTAATCATAACTATATATAATCATTATAACCATATCTAATTGACTAATATAATATGTAAAAAACTTTTAAAAAAATTTTACGGCCCGGCCCGGGTATTTTTTAAAAAAAATATTTTCATTTTAAAAAAAAATTTCAGGCCCGGCCCGGGCTTAGGGCTGGGCCTGCAGGTCTCTGATATATCCCTTTGATTTAATTATTTAACTATATGTTAATGACTATCCTTGGTAAATAAGAATATTATATAATTAGACCTGTGCGCTGCCGGACGCCGGCACCGCCGGTATTTTTATTCAAGCCGGAAAAGCAGCCGATTAAGATCATCGGCGCAAGCCGGCTCGCCGCCGATTTTTATAATGGCGCGGCGTGTGTAATTTTTAGAAAGCATATTAATTATATTTATATATTAAATTATTATTATTTTGATTTGTATACTAACATTAATAAAATAAAAATATGAATTGTATTCTATTGCTATATATAATAGACTAGTGTATATCATTTACATTCATTCATACATCATATTTTTTTCTACAAACAATTCATACTAATTATTTTTATGGACTTCCACGTTTTAAACCACCCTTTATACAATTATGAAATAACAACTCTCTCTACTAATCATAAATCAAGTTATGTCTGGAGGTACTTTGGAAATTTTCTTTTGAAGAATGAAAATAAGAAAAGCACAATAATGCCTGATTATATTTTTTGTGATCCTTGTTTAAAATTGTCGAAAAAAGATGAAGAAGATTCGAATAAACATAATTCATTTTCATATTAATTTATTTTTTTTAGTCTTATATTTATATATATTTTATATTTTAATTATGAAATAAAATGTTTTAGTAAAAATATAAGTACAAGTAATCTATCTCGGCACTTAATTAATTATCACAAACTATCAGAAAAATGAATAATAATAAATTTATTCAAAGTCTAAAAATGTTTTTAAAGCCAACACAAGATGCAGCAACAATATAAAAGATAAAAAATGGCTCTTAGGTTTGTATTATTATTTATTATTAAAAAATTTTAACTGGTTTGTTAAATTAATTTATTAAGCTTTATTTTGAAAGTTCAAAACAACTAAATTTTTAGTTTATTTATTGCCAGCTCTATTTTGAAATCTTTTTAATATATAAACTTAATATATAATTTATTAAATTAATTATGTAAAACTTTATTTTGAAAGTTACTACTAAATCAAATTCATAATTTGTTTCATTCCAACTATAACTATTATGTTTTTTAAATGTCTTTTTAATGTATAAACTTAATATATAATTTATTAAATTAATTATATAAAATTTTATTTTGAAAGTTAAAACTAAATCAAATTTATAATTTGTTTCATTCCAGCTCTAATTATTTTGATGTTTTTTAAATTATTATTTAATATATAATTTATTAAATAATTTATTTAAAACTTTATTTTAGAAAGTTAAAACTATATCAAATTTATAATTTATTTCATTCCCTCTTATTATTTTATTTTTAAATATCATTTTAAAGTATAAACTTAATATATAATTTATTAAATTAATTATGTAAAGCTTTATTTTGAAAGTTAAAACTAAATCTAATTTATAATTTGTTTCATTCCAGTTCTAATTATTTTGATGTGTTTTAAATATCTTTAATGTTTAAAATAAATATGAAATCTAATAGGGCGAAATTATGGTTTGATGTGCTACATATATTTAATGCCATTTTATTCTATAAACAATAAAGGAACGACAGATTTTCTAAAGGTTTAAAATTTATATAAAATGAATATTAAAAAATAAATTGCCTAAAAAATAGAAATATAAAAGAATTGATTCCTGGTCAGAATTGTCAAATAGGACAACCATTAGTCGGGGTGCACTAGAAGATGTTTATTTATCTATAAAGGCCCATGTTTTAAATCTGATTGATTCTGGACCAAAATGTTGTTCTATCACTTTTGATTTATGGACCGGTCATTTCAAACGTCGAAATTATATCACATTTAGTCTTCATCATTTAGATGAAAATTTTGATTTAAAATATTTTACCCTAGCAACTAGAAAGTGACTCAAAAGCATACTGGGGAAACATATAGAGTTTGATAGTATTGAAGAGGAGTTCCATTTAAAAGCCAAGATAATACAAATGGCAGCAGTTGATGCTGGGGACAATGTCAAAAGAAGCGTCAGATTAGAGGATTATGAGTATCATTTATGCTTAGGGCATGGACTTCATAATTTGGTTACAGTTAATGGCATAAAAAAAGTTACCAAAATTGATATTCTCATTAAAATAATTAGAGAAATTATTTCAGCCCTTAGATTTCGAGTAGATTTGGAATGTGAAATTGAGGCTGAACATCGTAAATGTCTGCAGTTAATTTATGAGAAAGGTAATATCTTGTATATTGATGATTCTGATCCATACCTTGATGACCATTTTGATATGTCTGATGAATCGGATAATAGAAATGGCATTGCACCAACCAATCTAATTAATGCAAAAACTTTAAAATTAAATTGTCATACCCGCTGCCATAGCATATTAATTATGCTAGAAAGTGTTCGCAGTGTAAACAAAATTCCTATAAATAATGTTATAAATAAAATAGGATAACAATCTTTAAAACTCGTTAATAATGTACGGGATATGATTGATGGCAGTATTAAATCCATTCCGAGAGTCGGTAGAATTTCTCTCCTCCCAAAAAGGATCGACAATAAATTTAGGGTTATTATTTCGCAGTGAAATAGAAGCTCATATACAAATCAATAGATCTGATTGCTCAGATATTATATGCTTAAAAGATAATATGGGGAAAAAAAGCTTGACTATAGGTTTCCCATTACTGAACTTTAAGTTATTTTAAATTTTTATTAATAAAATTATATTTTAAACATTAGATATTAGCAACTCTACTTGATCCCAGATTTCAAAATCTTAAAATTGTTTCAGAATATTTAAATTTGCATTCTACGACATCATTGCAATTTTTAATTCGACATTTAAAACTTTTAGAGGATGATAGAAATGCACAGAGTGAAATTCAAGTTGAGGATAATGGTCAAACATCAAGCTCTTATATAGCAAAATTAGCTCGTAAACATTCCCTTCCAAGTAACGATTATAACAATATTAGTAATCTAGAACAAGAAAGTCATATTTTGCTCAGCCAAAATAATATCCCAGAAAAGGCCGTATTAATCTTTTGGAAGAAAAAGCGACTGGAACTTCCTATGCTTGCTAATTTAGCTAGGAAGGGTTCATTGTATACCTGCACAGAGAAAGAATTTTTTCCATTGCTGGATTAATACTCAATGCTAAAAGGACTTTTTTATGTCCCACAAACCTTGATAAAATACTGTTTATTCATGACAATTATAATTTTGCTAAATCTGAATTCTGACTTATTATATTTCATAGTTTATATTTTGCTTGCATTCCAAATTTATTTTAATTATAATAAAAATCAATAGAATATTTTTTATATGTGTTGTTGATGTGACTCTGATCTGAGTAAAAATGCAATTCCTTAGTCTATTTCTGAGAATGAGAAAATACATAAATTTAAATTGGAGTGAGACAGAAAATAATTTAAGATCAATTAAACTATGTTAACAATTTATTAGAAAAGATCGCCCAAATAAATTATAAAAAATGTAATACATTAATTTATAAATTAAATTCATTAAGAAATAAATTGATTCATAAATTAAATTCATTTAAAAAATTTAAAATAAATATTGCGCAGCCGCCGCCGACAATTTAGTAGACGGCGGCGCGGCTCACTACCGAACGCCTATAAAAAATTTTTAAAAAACCCCCGCCGTTGATTGAGACATCGGCGCACAGGTCTAGATAAAAGGAGTAATCAGCAAGTATTATAGGCGTAACAGATAACTCCATAAACTCCGCTGGGGGGGGGCCTCACGAAAAAATTAAATTTATAAGAGCCTCAATAGGTCTTAGATTGGATAGAGGTAAATTATTATTTTTTTGGTGAAGAATTTCGTTGGAGGCGATTTTATTTAAATAATGAAAATTGTTTTAAATGTACGATAAACATTAGCTAGATCTGAAATTTCTGTGATATCAGTGGCGTAGCTAGGAATTTTCCTTAGAGGGGGTCCATACATATAAAGCTGGGGAGCTTCGCCCCCCCCCAGACCCCCTCAGCCGGGTTTATCTTACAAATCATAACCATATCTTCAATAATATATAATAAATATATTTTTTAAATGCATCAATAATATGTTATTATAATTTAGTAGATTATTCTCAATGACTTTATAATAATACTATCCAGAATAATTTCAATAGTAATATAATATCCTTCCACAAACATCAAAACCAGAAAAATATAATTCATATAAAATCACTTTTAAGTCTTTTGAACGTGTAATCTAAAAAAAAATTTGCTCTGGGAGGGGTCCAAACCCGAAAACCACCCCCGTAGCTACGCCACTGTGTGATATTATGCAAAATATTCATACGTTCTTTATTAACATTATAACTAGATGGGATAAATGAAAAATTTGAATCTTCGTGAGTTTAACAATTTTAAATACTATAAATTTATCAAGATGGTTATCCAGACATGATTAAATATTGTAATGTTGCAGTTGTGTTGTCGATATAATCCTGAGTTGCCACTGTCTGGCATGCTTAAAGGTCTCTGGTTGTCAAATTCGTCAGATAGAGTTAACGTAATTCTTTCATCGTCTTAGCCGAGTTCCTTGAAACCTCTTAATCTTTGTTCATTGATTGTAAAGGCTCTATGCCTACTATAAATTGATGGGAAAGTGAGAAAGTCTTTAGGATTTCCTGTATAAATATTTTTACCTCAAATATGAATATTGACCCTGTTCTTTAGACCAACAAAATCAATAAATATTCGGATCTAGCTACCACATAATAATATTTTTATCACTTTAGCCAGCAGCCTTGGCCACTTTGGTCCGAGTTTGGCTATTCTTTCTTTTATGGACTTGAAAATTAAGCTCTTTACGTTAATCTCCTTGCGTTTCATGACTTGAAATAAGAGCCCAAATTGAAATTCTCAAGATGGAGTTTCTTGTCATTCTAATATTTTTATTTTTTTATATATGTCCTCCTTCGATTCTTACTTTTTTGAAAAATATTGTATATAATTTTTATTTCAAATTTGTATATAATTTTTACTCAAAGAATCCAGGATAAAGATACATGATGACGTTGGCCAGTATATATTCATTTGATAAACACCGATCAAAATTATTAAAATGCAATATGATCCACGTATTTCTAATGTTATATTAATGGAAAAATAGTCTAGTCTGATCTACTATATATCATCCCCCCCCCCCAAAATGGAATCACCTATTTGACTTTAGAAAAAACGATGATCTTTGCTGGTTTCGAACCCAGAACTATTGGATTGTGATACACGCACAGAATCGGTTAGGCTATAGACTATAATCAAGTTTCTTTATATATAAGGATGCAATTACAACGTTATCTAATATTTTAATAAAACGCATAAAAAATCAATAACGTTCAACGCTATATATCATTAACCAAGATTCTTTATAATTATATTTCAAAAATATTCTCAGCTATATATCATAAGTCAGCATAGAGAAGAAAGAGAAAATCGTTTTATATTTATTTTGATGGTTAAATGTGGAGGCTATTCTAAAAATAACACTAAAAAATATGAGAAAGGAAGAGTTTCAAAAACCTGAATTATGTCCAACAGAAAAATAGATTAATCATAAAACCTGTTGCGAAGGTACTTTTTTTTGCTCTTTAGCTTTGATCTTTTCTGGTGGTAGGCTCCTTCAACATCTCTCTCCACTTTATGTTATTCATACAAACTCTTTTATCTAATTTATACTACTTTATATTGGCTCTAACTTTATGGCCCCATTGAAGTTTTGCCCTTCCTCTTTTACGTTTGCCCATCCCTTTAAAACTCTCAACCTTATTTCCTATGTAGTTCATAGGCCTTCTCATTGTGTGCCCATACCACCTAAAGTCTGTTTACCATTATCTTAGTCAAATTACACTACCTTTAAACGACTTAGTATTCTTGTACTGCGCACTTTATCCGTTCTTCTTACCCCAGAAATTATCCTCAGCATTCTCATCTCCATAGTTTGTAGACTTCTCTCGTCTGATTCCTTGGTTGGCCATGTTTCCGAACTATATAGAATAGTTAGTTGTACTATGAAACTGTAAATTATTCCCTTTATTTGTGTGGGATTCTTTTATAAAATAGCACTCCAGATAAAGATTCCACTTTAACCACTCTTGATTTTTCTATTGTGCCGTTTGTTTGTATAGTGGAGCCCAAATATTTGCAGCTTTCAATTGCCGATATCTGCCATTCATTTATATCAATACTCTCTGTTTCTCCTCCAATCACCATATACTCAGTCTTTTCTCTATTTACTTTTAGTCCGTGCTTTTCTAGGATATTTATCCAACTCACTAATCTTTCTTCCATTTCATCCTTGGATTCGGCAAGTATCACAATATCATCTGCAAATATCATATTCCACGGGACTGTTTGAGGTATAGACTGTGCTAATACATCTATTACTGTAATGAAGAGAAGGGTGCTGAGAGCCGACCCTTGATAAACTCCTTCGGCTATTGTGAAGCCTGCTGAAGTACCTGTTGTGCTACAAGGTACTTTTAATTTTTTTTAATCACACATTATCTGCTAGATTTTATTTTAGGCAAACTATTTTTATAAGCCAAAAAGGTTGATAACAAAATATAACCATGATTAGATGATTAATTATTTCGTGATAAAATTTTTCAATTTCATGAAATTTTTTCATTATAAATAATTTTTATTTAATAAAACTACTAGTATTATTTGGCTAAATTTATCACAAGTGATTACTCGTCAATTGACGAAAGTCCCTATATTATAAGCACAGAGGCTTCATATTTTTTAAAATGTGCCTTTTACTACAATCACTGCACAGCGTAGTAATTTAAAATAAAGTAAAATATTTTCATTCAATATCACAAGCAAGATCTAATCTAGCAAGAAGGCCGTGTCCTGGTTCGACTTATTACTAAATAGCCAGGCCTAAAGAGTAAAAGTAAATAAATTTTCAAAAAATACGAATAAAACAAAACAAAGAAACAACTAAATAAACGACCAAAAAGTACGAAAAATAACAATGTCACCAAATACTAAATCAAATTAAAATAAAGTGTCATAGTTTCGCTTCCAGTTATCAAATTAAGCTAAAACAGGGCACAGTTACAAAACAGAACGTAATAAATTTTCTATGATATCAAAAACGATGCCAATTTTTTTTTAAGTGCCGAAATTATTGATGCTCGTTCACTTTAATGATGTTTTAAAATAGTTTTCGGACATTTAAGCAATATTGTATTCTCTGCTATTATTGTAGTTCAATAAAGTTATTTTATATGAATTGTGTTTAATTGACCTGTATCTGAAAATAATAACTTAAAGTGGGTTTCGAGATCTTCTGTTACGCCTCTGTGAGGGGAGGAACTACCAAATGTATTCCAGTATAGAGATATAAAGGGGACTTTTGGTTAAGTTTAGATACTAATTTTTAAAGGAGCTAAGGAGCACTCTAATTAAGATAGAAAGGTATACTAAAGAAAGAATTAGCGGTCTAATTAAGATAGGAAGGCATACTAAATAAGTTATGAATAGTATATACTCAGTTAATATAGGGATTAAAATGCCAAAAATATAATTGAAAAACTTTTATTGATTGTCATTGAATCAGTGTCGAACTTGAGTATTTTAATAGTTCCATGACTCGTTCCGCAAGCCAAAAGTTTTCCAGTAGGACTCCAGGCTAGAGAATATATTATTGCTTTTTCTAAAATTCTAGTTAAAGGATGATTGTTTGCTATATTATTTGAATTTTGGAGTTTTTGATTATTAATTATAGTGCTATTGCTCTCATCTATATTCTCGGAAGATATTAAATTAGTTTGGCATAAAGTTGGCTCAATTTTATTAGAATAATCTCTCTTTTTGGAATATATTTCATTACCAATGTTTTGATGATTTGGAGGAGTTTTTATTAAGTTGCAACTTTTAAGGTCAAAGGTGAATTTGACCATTTTCAATTTGGTTAAGCTGATGATATATATATATATATAAACAATCATTTATCCAAACATATTAATTTCCATAAATAATTCTCAATTCTTGAGTTTGAATTTAAAACATATTTTTAATATAATATCTGGAGAAATTCTTTGTTATTTAAGATTCCGATAGTATTTTTGGTTACATATTTATTTACAAAAAATTTTAAAAGAAATAACAGGTTGTTTACAACTAATTATGCAACTTTTTTAATCTCACTTGCGAATCATGTATATTCCCTTTTTTAATTGTAATTTCTTTAATCTAATCAAAAATCATTTTGATAGCTACCTTGAAATGGAACACGATTTATTTTAAACCATTACTTTTTACACTTATAAAAATTTAGGGATAGAAACAATAGTGCAACTTGCTAGAAACTCTCAAATTTAATTAAAAATAATAGTATATACATCCATTTTTCAAATACTCGCTTTCTGAGATATACGCTAAATAGTATCATATCAATCTACAAAATTTAAGATAATGAATGAATGAAAAATAAACCTATTTATTTGATTAGGGTATTCTTTTATTATCACAGACAATGGATCAGTTGCTCCATAGGCATAAAATCTACCGGATGGATGGACGGCCATAGCGGATATAACACTTGGGCACTCCTCTCTGAATATGGGTGCAAATTCTTTTAATTCTTGAAAATATTTCTTTAACCAAAAATTATATTGGTTTCTAAAGGAATGTCATTGATTTTTGAATTAATAATATTAAAAAGTTATGTCTCCAATAAATTTCATTAAATTACGAATCAAGGGGAGCTGTAATATTATAATATTTATTATTGTATTTTATAATGTATTATTATTTAATATTAAATATATTTTAAAAAAATCCCAGTTTTTTTTCCTTGATCCTTTTCCCACAGTTTTTTATTATAAGTTTTTCCCAAATAGTTTTTGATTGAAATTTTTCTTCTCAGTTTATTTTATCGCAAACCCCCCCCCCCCCCCCATCATTCGATAATAGGTAGGCAACGGAGTGGGAAAATAAAGGAGCTTTTTTATAAGGATCTTGAAAATCGTAGAATAGAATGGATATCCCATTTCTCAGGCGCTTGAGTTAGATCATTATTAGCATTATCTGTTATGTGAATAAGATTGACCTGAGCAGCTAACATTGAAGAAATATGTGCGGCTAATAAAAATATTAATAGAGAGTAGGTAGTTTGAAGCAATGCTTGTTCACCAAAGTTTAAGTAGAGAATTGATTCCAAGAGGATTTAAAATTGTGCCCTTAGAAGTAGCTCATTTTTGAAAATGTGAAAAGCTTGGAGTGCAAATAAATTTTTAGGTAATGTTAAAATAGGAGGGGTTTGAGAGTAAGTGGGGCTTTAATTTATTTAAATTGCTATAAGAGTTAGTTAGAAAGAAGGTGACGGCTTCCCCGCCTTCTATAAGAGCTTAAGTATTTAAAATAAAAGTCTGAGCGGGTTTTATCCCTCCAACCAGGCCCGATCAACCTGGGGAGCTAGTTAAAAATTCAAACAATAGGCAGGTGATGGGCTCGTTAAAAATATTTTTAAATGATGGGAGGGCGATTTAAAATATTTTTAGGGCTAAATAAGCTATGAATTCATTTATTAAAAATTGGTTTTTATTTCATAATATTGCATATTTCAGTTTAATGCAGTATAATAATAAATTAGGAGCCAAAATACCCAAAAAATATTATATTTTTTAACATTTGGCTGAGGGGGGGGGGGTGTAATTAATTTTTTTGATAATGAGTTTATTTTAGTATAGATACTTGAAGCCGTGAAAGTTTATTAAGATATGAAGATGTGTTAGAAAGATTTTATGAATGTAAATGTGATGTGGATATATTTTAATCAAGATTTTAATATAAGCATATTCCTCCTGAAATTAGATTGACTTATAATCAGGAATGTAATGTGGGAGGCTACGGGGGCGTAGTCCCCCGCTAATTTTTTGATTCTTAGCCCCCTTTCCAAATAATGAAAAGACATGCCCCCCTCCCCGCCAGAAATTAAATTTTTTTTTAAAAAAGCGTTATAAATTTGAATCCCTTTTATCCTTATTATTGTTATAATTTTGATGTAGTCAGTAATCTTTTCATATTCTTCTTATAGCCACAAAGAGGAATAGAAGCTAAAGGTTTTATTTTTATGTTCATATAAATATTTATAAATCGCTCCAGTTTCACCGCCAAAGAATGGGTTCTATCTCCATTCTTAACAGGTTTTGAGCCTACTCTAAGAAGGTTTTAGGCAAAATATATCATCAAAGCCTTGATCAGGGCTAAACTTAAAGGATAGCTCAATTTTGAAAAGAAATATGCTTTGCCAGAGAACAAATATTTAATTTCAAAATATGAAAATTATAAATATTTTTATATTTTGTATTGTTTTTATTAAATTTTGCGATATCAATTCAAATCAAATATAATAATAAATCACTGAATTTTTTAATTCACAAAATTTTTTAAAAGTTTTAATAGATGATTTTAGTTATGTTACCTAATCTTTAATTTACGAAAATTTATAAATTCTAAGGTTTTTTAAAATATATTTAGGTCACAATCCAATGTAAATTTTCAGGTGAAAAAAATCTCAAAGAAGTATCATGATTTCGATTAATTATACATAGTTGCTCTAGAATAATATGTTTGATCTTCTCTTTTGATTTAAGCTAAAAACATTATATAATATTAAATATTAAAGATATTTTATTTTGGTATAAATTTCCAACCATATATTTTCGGCATTAGAAATGTATCTCTTGACCCATCAAATTTTTTTTTAACAAAGACAAAGAATATGGTAACAAAAAATAAACCATTATTAATTTTTGATTTAAGAAATCTATTGTTTTAAAATAAAATTCCTTAAACCTGACAGGATTTTAATATGTATTCTTACATTTAAACATACTTTTAGGCACTGTTGTAGTCCTAAAATTTGCGGCAGGGGCACGCTATTATTCAAAAAATAGGAAGCACACTAATATGGGCAAAAATCTTTGATTTACAAAGAATATGTGGCAAATATTTTATAAAAATAAAACAATTATATTATTATAATATAATATAATGCATAAATCGGAATAGATCAAAAAATGGTGAAAATAAACTACAATATTCGCCATATTTAATATTAGGGGAGACCGGGGTAAAACGATAGGCATTTTGCATATTTACCATAAAAATTTTAAATAAGAGTCAAACACAATAAATTATAAATCAATGTGTAGCCCCATCTCTCTTCTACAAGATAAAAAAAAGTGTAGCCCTCTACCTATAATATTTTAGGAGCTATGATTAGTTATGTAAAACTACTCATTTTCGCCATTTTACCCTGGGTACAGGGTAAAATGGATAAGCACTAGGGTAAAGTGGTTAAAATAATATTTGACACATATTTATTGTTTTATTTAACAAATATTACAAATATAAGATTATGATTTTTATTTAAAAACTAATCGATACAATAAGGACATGTAAAATAATTATCATAATTAGCACATTTAGAATGTGCCCATTCAAGGCACATTGTACATTTTAGCCATTCATCGCCCTCGCGACTATTTTTATAGTTTTTATTACAAATAACACATAAACAATTATTTTTTGATATTTTTTTTTTCTCTGAATTAATAATTTTTTTTTATAAGGTGTAGATGTTAATATTTCTGAATTCTTTTTTTTAGATATTTTATCCGATGAAATATTGAATAATTTTGGAATAGGTATTATAGATGAAGGATTGAATACTTTATTATAATTTTTTGAGAATGATGGTAACATATCATGATAAGGTTCATCAATATCATCTGGAACATTTTCGTTCAATAATATAGATAAATCACTATCATTATTTTGAGTCACTGTAAGATTTTGAGTCACTGTAATATTTTCATCATTATTTTCAAATTCAATATTTGAGTTAGCATTTGAATTATTGCAGCAGATATAATCTTGTTCTGTAAATATATTTGGGTTTAAAGGAAATATGCCACATGTTAAGAATCCATTTAATATATTATTTGATGTCACTGCCCTTGGTATTTCATTTTTTAACACTCCTGGAATATCATAAATCTGAAATTGTTGCCCCACATGATTTTTAGATTGAGCATTATTAAAATTATGAAATACAATATAATTTCAATTGAGCATTTTTATTAAAGTTACCAAATTAATATTGATATTTAGATTGAGCATTATTAAAATTATGAAATACAATATAATTTCAATTGAGCATTTTTATTAAAGTTACCAAATTAATATTGATATTTAAATTGAGTTATTAAAATTATGAAATACAATATAATACAAACAATATAATTTAATTACTTGTTTAGGCGTTAATCCCATAAATGACTTACTTGCTTCTAATATGTAGTCACACAATCTAGATTCTTCTTCATTTGTAAATATTTGTTTATGATGATCTGAACTTTTAATACCAATTTTACATCTCCTTCTCAACGTTGTATAAGGTATGTTAAATTTTTTAGCAGACAAATTTAATGAAGTATTATTTGTTATTTTATATTTTATGGCTTCATTTATTATATTTACATCTCTGTATATGGTTTTTCTTTTATAATTTCTCATTATTTGATTGATACAATAAAAATTATAATAAATAAATTAATGAAAAATTAATGTGAATAATTTTATATTTTAACCGTTTTACCCATAACAGCTTTACCCCTAGGTGACATATATTATAAATATCGTTATTGCGTGACTTCTAATATAGCTAAAGATGTCAGATAAATTTTATTTTATAGCTAATACATTAAGGAACATGTGTGCCAAATTTTGAATCCTGAGGATATGTAAACTAAAAGCAAAATATACTAGAGAATGATTTTTATATTTTTTGGGTAAAAAACAGTTTTTTGACAAAATAAATAAAACCAGGTAAGTTTTTTAAAAGATGAACATAGGTAAGAAATTAGATATAAAAATACATCTTCACACCAAATTTAAGGTCTTTATACTCAATGGTTAAAAAGTTATTCGCGTTAACATTGTTACCCCGTCAATCGCTTTACCCCGGTTTCCCCTACTGTTAAAGTTATGAAAAAAAGAGTTTTTTTTTTTTATTATTTGAATATTAAAATGAGAGATTTACGAACTTGAATGTACGGAGAATATGATTGTTTATTTTAAATTTTGCATATAAAATTTTTTTTGAATATTAATGTTTGTTATTAACATATAAAAACCCGTTATTCTTAACGAACTTGAATGTACGGAGAATACTATTGTTTATTTTAATTTTGCATATAAAATTTTTTTTGAATATTAATTTTTTTCATTAACATATAAAAACCCGTATTTTGTGAATCGAGAATTCATTCATTATATTTAATTTTTTTTGTTACATGATTTGAATTAACAAGATTGGAATAATAAAATTGGAGTAATAAAATTGAATCATTAAAGGTATTATTATATTTATATTGAATATATTTATCTTGCTAATCATACCAAAAACTCCGAAATTCAACAATTACCTTCACACTTCTTTGATTATTTCAATTGCAGAACTGTGATTTTTCAGCCACATTTTAATATATGGAGAAAAATTACACTGACTGAGGAGAGGCTCGTTAACGGGTATCATCATTAGACTGGAAATATGTTTTGCATCATGTCAATATTACTAATCAAAATTTATTTATTCTCCAATCTTCTTAAGATATTTTTATATGTTCTCCTTTAAATAAACATTAAAAGAGATTTAGAACCTACTAGGATTATCCTTAAACAATTTTAGAACACGAATAGCTCGCTTTATTGATTTGACAGCATTAAGTAAACTAATTGTTCTTGGCTGAAGCCTTAAAGAGAGATTAGATAATTCAAATAAAACATCATACATCAAGGCAAGATCTGATAAGAATTCACTACTTTCTAACCTGGTAGACAGCCTGTTAAATTTTTCACTGTTGCCAAAATTTTTGAAATGTGTATATAGGGCCTTAGTTATTCCAAACTGCCTTAACAGTATGGAAACTGCTATACATCAATCGTACATCAAGTACCCTTCCAATTTTCGGTAACTGAATGCCCAATTCAGACGCTGTTTGATTCAACGATTTTAATTTTGTTAGATTGGCAATATATACTATATATTGTGTTAATAAAGACCTGTAACTTCTTTTATTGCATAAAGCGGTTTAAACAATTATAGGGTAAGATCCTTAGATGAAAGGCGCTTTGCTACACCAGATTTCTTCCCAGTCATGATAAGCTCCAGAGCTAACAAAAGAAATCTAATTTTGCAAAAAAGATTCAGTATGAACTCCCTTCTGCATCTTCCAGTTCAATTATGTCTAGAAATTTACAAATAGGATCATCATAAGAGGACACCAATGCTGATTTTATGTAAATAGAATTTTTTAAAGAGGAGGGACACTGCCCCATCCCCGACTGCATAACTGCCTTTAGTCATATGTCTCCTATGATGATGTCAAAATCAATGCATTTGAACTTATCATTAAAATATATAAAGTTATTACAAATAATATTTAAAAAAAACAATAGAAAATAATTTATTTTACAAAATAAGTAAATATTTGGTTTAATTAATGGCAAAATAAAATTAACCAATACTAAAACAGTTCAAACTTAGATAAAGTTATTAATACCCCCCCCCCCCCTTCCCCCACCCCCTCCTTCATAGAAAATATTTATAGTCGCCTTTGACTTGGATTATACTTAATTTTTCCATACCTTAAATTGGATAATTATACAAAATAATGGTTTACGTTTAATCTTTCTTCCACCGGCGAGAATATATTAAATCCAGCCGAAGGCCAATTATTCCCATTGAATGTATTCATCATCATTCAATAGGTTTCGAATTAGAAATAAGTTGTTTTTTTTTATGTTCAGGAAGAAGTAAATCCAAATTTTCTGCCCCAAATTTATCTAAAATATCAAATAGTAAATATTTCAAAAAAGAAGAAAATTGTTAATGAATTTTTTTTTTCACGAAAAATTATAAAATGTTCTAAAGCTGAAATAAAATCAATATTTTTGAAAGAAAATGGTGTAAAATCAATAATAATAAAAAAAAATTTAACAAATAAATAAAAATAAAATGTAAAAATTTTTTAAATAAAAAATTGCAGCTGAAGTCAGGTAAAAAAATTACATGTATCAAAATTTTCTTTTAATTTTATTTTGTAAAAAAATAAATTTACGTTAAAGGGTTTTTAATGCTTGAAATGAAAATGAACTTCTTATTATATCAAATATAAAATACAATAAAATAAAATTTATGAATAAGTATATATTTTTTTTAAAATATTTAATTTATGTATAAATAAATTAGAATTAATTTATTCTTTAATAAGTGAGTAATTTTTCTTTTTACAATTGAAGACGACTTTATTGAACAAATCTTAAAATGACATTTTTAATAAAAATTTATGAAAAAAATACATATTATGGTAGTATTATATTAAAAATAAAATATATAATTTGAAATTTAATATATAAAAAAATACATATAATAAAATTTATTTTACAAAGAAATAAAGGTGAATCAATAATAAAATACCAGATTCTGCGATTTCTATGTGGATATCTCACAAAATATTGAGTCATGGGTAAAATTTTTTTATAAATAAAGGAAAACTTTAAATTTGTTTGATTAGATAAAGAAAATGGGAAACCACGTAACAGAGGTATCCTATTTTGCTAGGGGTCTAAAGACCCTGCCAAGATGAATGAAGTTGTGGTGTGAAGGTTATTAAGACTTCTAGTGATTTATTGTTTTGTATATTAAAAAATAAGAGTTTAACATTAATTAAAATATTACTTTCAAATCTTTAAATATGAGGAAATCAAAATATAATGCAAAATATAAAAATAATCGTTCTTAAAATTTATACTTTTCAATTAAAAATTATGACTCATCAATCTAATACTAAAATCAAAATTGGTTTAATGAATAACATAATAAATAACTTGAAATATATATGTAAGGGGGACCGTGGATGAATGACCATGATTTTTTCCATGTCAAATAAAATGGTTAAAAATTGACATTAATCAAAAAATTTTTATCAGTGTATAGCCCAAATCTTAATATTTTAAAGTATAAATTAAGATCAAATCTCTATCTATTATATAGCTTATGATTGAATTTAATTTGTGGAAAAATTTTATTTTAGGCCGTCTACTCAGGTATGGTGTTGAGTGGCATACTCTGGGTAGATGGTCATACTTTTTATTATGAAATATCTATCACTATATGAAAGATAACAATATTAAATCAGCTTATAAAAAATATATGGGCTCACGTAAAATGCATATCAAATGTAAAATATTTAAAATTTTATTAATACGAAATATGATTATAATTTTAAACTGAAACAAATAGATAATTGATATATTAAAAATCTTATTAATTTAGAATATATTAGAACATTTCTTTTAACTTTATATTTTGATTTTGTATTTATTAAAGAAATATGATTATTTCATCTTTAAAATAAGATAAATGGATAAATTTTAAATCTCAAATTTAGATAACTGGGTAACTATAGTTATTTCTTATCTATAATTTCTGCATTTTCCTAATTATTGTTTTCCTTTCTATTAGACTGTGCAATCTTTAGGAATATATAATATATATGTGAATTTTACCATCTGAAATAATTGTAAAAAAATATCACCAATATTATAAATCCATATTTAAATAACTCCAATTTTATTTATCATATAACACAATCATAATAATAAATTTTTGAACAAATGGTTTGGCTTATCGAACATCACATTCATCTCCCTAAAAACTAGTGATTGGATGTTTCACTCTGTGCATTTCTATCATGCTCTAAAAGTTTCAAATGTCGAATTAAAAATTGCAATGATGTCGTAGAATTCAAATTTAAATATTCTGAAAATACTTTAAGATTTTGAAATCTGGGATCAAGTAGAGTTGCTAATATCTAATGTTTAAAATATAATTTTATTAATAAAAATATAAAATAACTTGAAGTTCAGTAATGGGAAACCTCTAGTCAAGCTTTTTTTTCCATATTTTCTTTTAAGCATATAATATCTGAGCAATCAGATCTATTGATTTGTATATGAGCTTCTACTTCACTGCGAAATAATAATCCTAAGTTTATTTTGATCCTTTTTGGAAGGAAAGAAATTCCACAGACTCTCGGAATGGATTTGCCATCAATCATATCCCGTACATTATTAGAGTTTTAAAGATTATTTTCCTATTTTATTTAGAACATTATTTATAGGAGTTTACACTGCGAACACTTTCTAGCATAATTAATAAGCTATGCCAGCGGGTAGGGCAATTTAATTTTAAAGTTTTTGCATTAAAGATTGGTTGGTGCAATGCCATTTCTGTTATCCGATTCAAGACATATCAAAATGGTCATCAAGGTATGGATCAGAATCATCAATATACAAGATATTACCTTTCTCATAAATTAACTGCAGACATTTACGATGTTCAGCCTCAATTTCACATTCCAAATCTACTCGAAATCTAAGGGCTGAAATAATTTCTCTAATTATTTTAATGAGAATATCAATTTTGGTTGTTATAATTCCGAACTTACTCAGGGTGTTTAATCAGTATTGGGAGAGCAATTTAAGAATTATAGGTTTGTTAAATCTTTCTAAAATTAAATAAAAGATTAATTCTAATAATAATGATGTTTAATTACTTACCCTTGAGTACCTAAAATATATATGTCATTTCGCTTAATAATTATAATTTATCAAATTGTATGTTTACCTTTTCTTTATTAACTCTTTCCTTTGGTTTTATTAATTTTATTTCCAAATATCGTTCGTTAAAAATAATAACATAAATTTCGCAGAATCCAAAATTATTCAAAACTAAACTTTTTTGAATTAACAATGTATATATATATATATAAAAAAATTAAACAATTTTCGAAGAATTAAATATATAAAATTTGCATATTTGAATATATATATAAAATTTATAGAAAAATATTATGTTCAATTTAAGATTATTTACATAGACAAATTACCCCAAAAATATTATCTTCGTCTACCATTTATTTATGAATAATCACTTTTCAAAATTAACATTCGAATTTGCATATACAACATTGGTAACTTTTTTTATGCCATCAACTGTAACCAAATTATGAAGTCCATGCCCTAAGCATAAATGATACTCATAATCCCCTAATCTGACGCTTATTTTGACATTGGCCCCAGCATCAATTGCCATTTGTATTATCTTGGCTTTTAAATGGAACTCCTCTTCAATACTATCAAACTCTATTGTTTCCCCAGTATGCTTTTGAGTCACTTTCTAGTTTAAAATATTTTAAATCAAAATTTTCATCTAAATGATGAAGACTAAATGTGATATAATTTCTACGTTTGAAATGATCGGTCCATAAATCAAAAGTGATAGAACAAAATTTTGGTCCAGAATCAATCAGATTTAAAACATGGGCCTCTATAAATAAATAAACATCTTTTAGTGCACCTCGACTAATGGTTGTCCTATTTGGCAATTCTGACGAGGAATCAATTCTCTTATATTTCTATTTTGTGGGCAATTTATTTTTTTATATTCATTTTATATAAATTTTAAACCTTTAGAAAATCTGTCATTCCTTTATTGTTTATAGAATCAAATGGCATTAAATCTAAGCAGCACATCAATGCATAATTTCGCCCTATTAGATTTCATATTTATTTTAAACATTAAAGATATTTAAAAAACATCAAAATAATTAAAACTGGAATGACAAATTATAAATTAGATTTAGTTTTAACTTTCAAAATAAAGCTTTACATAATTAATTTAATAAATTATATATTAAGTTTATACTTTAAAATGATATTTAAAAACAAAATAATTAGAGGGAATCAAACAAATTATAAATATGATTTAGTTTTAACTTTCTAAAATAAAGTTTTAAATAATTTATTTAAAAACAAAATAATTAGAGGGAATGAAACAAATTATAAATTTGATTTAATTTTAACTTTCTAAAATAAAGTTTTAAATAATTTATTTAATAAATTATATATTAAATAATAATTTAAAAAGATATTTAAAAAACATCAAAATAATTGGAGCTGGAATGAAACAAATTATAAATTTGATTTAGTTTTAACTTTCAGAATAAAATTTTACATAATTAATTTAATAAATTATATATTAAGTTTATACATTAAAAAGACATATAAAAAACATAATAATTATAGTTGGAATGAAACAAATTATGAATTTGATTTAGTAGTAACTTTCAAAATAAAGTTTTACATAATTAATTTAATAAATTATATATTAAGTTTATATAATAAAAAGATCTCAAAATAGAGCTGGCAATAAATAAACTAAAAATTTAGTTGTTTTGAACTTTCAAAATAAATTAATAAATTAATTTAACAAACCAGTTAAAAATTTTAAATGAATAATAATAAACAATAGTATAAACCTAAGCACCATTTTTTTTATCTTTTATATTGTTGCTGCATCTTGGTGTTGGCTTTAAAAACATTTTTAGACTTTGAATACATTTATTATTATTCATTTTTCTGATAGTTTGTGATAATTAATTGTGTCGAGATAGATTACTTGTACTTATATTTTTACTAAAACATTTTATTTCATAATTAAAATATAAAATATATATAAATATAAGACTAAAAAAAATAAATTACTGTGAAAATGAATTATCTTTATTCGAATCTTCCTCATCTTTTTTCGCCAATTTTAACCAAGGATCACAAAAAAATATAATCAGGCATTATTGTGCTTTTCTTATTTTCATTCTTCAAAATAAGATTTCCAAAGTACCTCCAGGCATAACTTGATTTATAATTAGTAGAGAGAGTTGTTATTTCATAATTG